TAAACTTTGGATTGATCTTTTTATAAGATAAAAATTACTTGGGCGAGATTAAGGTAACCAATCACACTTTCCCAGTGCTGGCTCTAGCCATTTTGGCGCCCTGGGCGAGTTGAAGCGCACCCCCCCCCCCAAACTATGTCCCACCCACCCCAATTTGAACCCCTAAAAACAAGTTGGACAGTGTAAGGTACTATGGTAAACTTAGATTTATTGCCTGCCCCCACCCCACCCCACACACACACACACACACACAAACACCCACCCTGGGGTGCGAGTTGTATGGATTTTTAGCAAAATTTATGGATTTTTGAGTCTTTTTATCCAGGTAAACATCTGAAGAGGTTGACATGTTTGGGACAACAAAATACAGACTTGTTGTTATTGAGTTTGTCAACAAGAACCGCTACCTGAGAGGCACTACTAGCCCCTCCCCCATCAGAGTGTCGGAGCAGGACGAGTCAGTGCAACGTCAATCAAATGAGACAGAGGGTGGGGGCGATTGCTGCATGGGGTGGGGGAGATGTTTTATGGGTAGAGTAGTTTATTTTTCCTGTAATACTTCATTATAGTTTTTTAAGACAAAGCTAATTGAAAGGGGCGCTGAGCAGAGTTACAACCAGGGATTACAAATAATTACTTTTTTTCTTCTGCAGTTCGGCACCCCCTCCAGCAGATGGCGCTCTAGGCGACCGCCTAGTTCGCCTATGCCAAGAGCCGGCTCTGCATTTTCCCCAAAGGACGTGATATCAGCTGTTTTGACAGGAAGTCTTTTGTTGTTCACTCCCTTTCCCTAAAATTGTTTTCAAGCCAGACATTCCCACGCCTTCTTCTTCACTGTTTAGATATTAGATGTTAGATCTCATGAATTTTCGTGGAAGACAAATAAATATGACTGTATCAGTCTTTTTCAAACCTTCGCACTGAAACAGTAACTGTTGCTCTTGAACACTTCCTTCAAAATATTTTTACAGACTCATTAAAACACAGCCAAGTGTGAAATGGGGCCAGTAACAGCCTTGCAGGAACTGTAATCAACATGTCAGCAGCTTTTAATTTTTTTTAATTTTTTAGAGACCTGCAGCACATCTGGGCCTTTTGTTGCAGTAACTTTGTGATATACAGTAAGGTATTTTCTCATACCTGTGACATATAATAACTGTAAAATGCCCAGGGTAATTATGTAAACCTTCGGGATGCTTGAGCTGAGAAATTCCCAAATTAAATTGCTGTGACTTAGAGACAGTATTACAGACAGGCCGACTCAAATAACAAGCCATTTCCTATCAGAGTGTTTCATGCATTAGTAATGTCACGTTATAGTTTGAGTGCTGCTGTGACGTATAGACTTGTAGACATCCAAAGACATACACAGCAGCCATATAGAAATATTGCAGTGGAAGACAGACTATACAGAGGGCATTTATTGAAGAATATTATTAAATACTTAATTTAAAATAATTGATTTTAATTAGCACAGCCTGGATGAAGACCTCTGCCCTTTTCTCTGCTCTATGATTGATGTCACAGCTGATAAGATTCTAACTATTGATAGCTATTTGACAAAGCATCATTTCAAAATGACCAGACTATTCCTTTAAGTTGTTAGTTGAAGTGCAATTAGCTACAGACCCTGGTAGTGACTAGAGATGGGGTAAATGGCTCTTTGAAGGGATCTGGATCTTGGGGAGATGTTTGTTTCATTGAGCCGTTCAAAAGAGCCGTTTGATTTTGAACGTATTACGTCATCATGTAGGGAAATACATCATCACGTAGCCGTACGTAATGACGTCATCCCGTCATATGGGTGGAACCATGTGTTTGTCAAGCAGAAACCCCCCTCCCCCTTTCACTGTGAGCCTCTGTACTCAACAAATCTGCCTGTTTTCCGTGAAAAAACAAAGCGGGAGCGATTTAAGTATGAAAAAATAAAGATTATATGAGGAATAAAAGAAATAAAATTACAAATGGCTCGTTACGGCCTGCGATTCGGCTCCTATCGTTCGTTGTAAAGAGCCGTTCAAAAGATTCGGATCGTTCGTGAACGTCACATCTCTAGTAGTGACTGACTGAGCTCTAGATTGAACAGATATATTGTATTATAGTACTTGTAGGGGAAACCCCCTCACCTCACCTCATCTCACCACTGGTTGACCTTTGACCACCTGTGGTAAAACCTCTCCTCTCCCCAGACTGAACAATTTGTTTTTTCCCTAAAACAAAAACAAGAGGACTTTGAGCCCCGCCTGCATTCACTACATTCACATGACACAACACCTAAGAACCACAGCATCCAAACCAATAAGTCAGGTGATGGGTCACATGACCCTCTATGAACAATAGAGCTAATCAAGCGTATTGTTAGTCAATGGTCCTCTTTTGCATGTGACTAACCTGTTTGTCCATGTGGAGGCGGAGCTTATAAGGCTGAGTTCACCTGAAACTCATCAGACTGAAGAAGTCTCTTGGAGGAGAGACGAAACGTTTCACTAAAGAAGAACCATCCAGAGGACCTACTGATTTTTTCTACCTGGATTACTGAGATGCATCAGGACTTTATGAGTTAATAACAGAACTTATATCTTAGTCAATGCTTTTAATTTATGCTTTTATTTCTTCTGTATTTGATGAGCATTACTCAATTATTTAAATAATCTACATTGCTTTTGTCAATAAATGTTAATTTATTTTTAAAAACTTTTAGACCAGAAGGTGAATCTCTAACTACTGTGTGTGTGTAATGTACAGACGTGAATACAATTGTTGGAAAGAAGAACCCACAATGAACCCACACAAAGTCTAAATTATAACTGAATCTCAACACTACATACTGAGTCTTTGTTTTATGTGGCAGAAAGGGGCTTCTACCATAAATGCTTTAGCAAAAATCTATAATGAAAAGTTCCCAGACTGCTTATAGATTTATTACTTGGGCAAATACATATTTTACCTACCACAAGATTGGCAATTTTCTCAGCTTTAATTTAAGCCATATTTTATAGAAATTGGATAAGAAATAAGGGTGCTGTGAATATTTTTGTGACAGATTGATGCGCATCCCTCATTGGAACTGTACCGTTTTTTTTTACATGACTCAGTGAACAGTAACCGTGTTTCCATCAAGGCTTTTTGATGCGCATTTAGAAGTGTCGCATTAAAAATGTGAAAAAAAAAAAGTCTGATGGAAACAGCAAAATTCGAAAAAAAAATTCTCAATTCGCTAAAAAGTTTTTTCGCTCGCTTGAGGTGGTTTTTGGATGATTCGCAAAGTAGTTAATGCGCAAAATGGGAGATGGAAACACATTTGCCTAATAAATTCTGACGTAGCGCATATTTACCTCACACGACGTTCAGCTTTTTCCGCTTTCCTGCCTCGTCCCAGATGTTATCATAAATGCGCAAAAACATGGCTACATCTCCTGGCAGCGTTAAACATAGCCTGTAGCTGAATAGACAGAATAATTACAACTTGCCCAATAGCAAGGCATTCACGTAAAAATCACTCCATTGTCCCGAGATGATTAGCCTCTGCTAGTTAGCAAGTTTCACTTCCTGTTTACCACTGCAAACTTGTCGCCAACGTCTGACGTAATCACATGTTGCATAGCCTCATCTGACGTAATCACGTTGCGTAGCCTCGTCTGACGTAATCACTCGTTGGGTAGCCTCGTCTGACGTAATCACTCATTGCGTAGCCACGTCTGACGTAATCACGTGTTGCGTAGCCTCGTCTGATGTAATCACAAGTTGCCTAGACTTGTCTGACGTAATCACGCATTGCGTAGCCTCGTCTGACGTAATCAYGYRTTGCGTAGCCTCGTCTGACKTAATCACGCATTGCGTAGCCTCGTCTGACGTAATCACGTTGCGTAGCCTCGTCTGACGTAATCACGTTGCGTAACCTCGTCTGACATAATCACGCGTTGCGTAGCCTCGTCTGACGTAATCACACGTTGCGTAGCCTCGTCTGACGTAATCACGTTGCGTAACCTCGTCTGACATAATCACGCGTTGCGTAGCCTCGTCTGATGTAATCACATTGCGTAGCCTCGTCTGACGTAATCATGCGTTGCGCAGCCTTATCTGACGTATTCACACGTTGCGTAGCCTCGTCTGACGTAATCACGCATTGTATAGCCTCATCTGACATAATCACACGTTGCGTAGCCTCGTCTGACGTAATCACGTGTTGCGTAGCCTCGTCTGACGTAATCACGTGTTGCGTAGCCTCGTCTGACGTAATCACGTGTTGCGTAGCCTTGTCTGACGTTATCATGTGTTGCGTAGCCTCGTCAGACGTAATCATGTGTTGCGTAGCCTCTGATGTAATCACGTGTTGCGTAGCCTTGTCTGACGTAATCACGTGTTGCGTAGTCTCGTCTGACGTAATCATGAGTTGCGTAGCCTCGTCTGACGTAATCACGCGTTGCGTAGCCTCGTCTGACGTAATCACGTTGCGTAGGCTCGTCTGACATAATCACGCGTTGCGTAGCCACGTCTGACATAATCACGTTGCGTAGCCTCGTCTGACATAATCACGCGTTGCGTAGCCTCGTCTGACGTAATCACATGTTGCGTAGCCTCGTCTGACGTAATCACATGTTGCGTAGCCT